GTTACTTTCAATAGTTGCAGTACTGTACTACTGTTATTCTTTTTATATCATTCATGTGCATATGAACCACCATTTAAAAACCCCCACAACGTGGGTGCAAACTAAACAATCAAAAATAAAATAAAAGGTGAAAAATAAAGAGAGAAAATGGCTCCCCACAAAAAAACACTCTATTGTTATTGTAAATATAGATCACAAAACAAAATCTCTATATTTTACAGTGATCAGCCACAACATTAAAACTACCTGTCTAATAACGAGTAAGTCCCGGCTGTGCTGCGAAAACAGCTCTGATGATTTGAGGCATGGACTCCACAAGACCTCTGAATGTGTCCTATGGTATCTGGCACCAAGACATTAGCAGCAGATCATTTTAGTCCTGCAAGTTGCAAGGTGACTTGGATTTGTTGTTCTAGCACATCCCACACCGCTCAATTGGATTGTGATCTGGAGGTTTTTGAGGCAAAAGCAGCACCTTGAATTCTTTGTCATGTTCCTCAAACCATTCCTAAACAATTTGTGCAGTGTGACAAGGTGCATTATCCTGCTGAAAGAGGCCACTGCCCTCATGGAACACCATTGCCGTGAAGGGTTTTAAGTGGTCTACAGCAATCTCTAGGTAGGTGGTATGTGTCAAAATTACATCCACATGAATGTCAGAATCCAAGGTTTCCCAGAAGAACATTTCCCAGAAAATAACACTGCCTACAGCAGCCTGCCTTCTTCCCATAGTGCATCCTGCTACCATCACTTCCCCAGGTTAATGATGAACACATACCTGGCCATCCACATGATCTAGAGCAAAATGTAATTCATCAGACCAAGCAACCTTCTTCCATTGCTCCATGGTCCAGCTGTGAAGCTCGCAGCCACATTAAAGTAACTTTCAGCGGTAGAAAGGAGTTATAAAGGCACTCATACTGGTCTGTGGCCGTTCAGCCCCATACGCAGCAAACTGCATTGCATTCTGTGTTATGACGACTTTCTATCATGGCCAGCATTATGCTTTTCATCATTTTGAACTGCAGTAGCTCTTCTGTGTGATCGGAGCAGACGGGTTAGCCTTCACTACCCACATGCATCAATAAGCCTTTGGCACCCAGACGCTGAAGCTGGTTTACAGATTGTCTTTCCTTGCACCACTTTTGGTAGGTACTAACCGATGCATCCCGGGAGCATCCCACGAGACTTGTCATTTTGGAGATGATCACTATTTGGCCCTTGTCAAAATCACCAAGATCGTTTTGCTTGCCAATTTTTTCTGCTTCCAACAAATAAAATTCAAGAACTGACTGTTCACTTCCTGCCTAATATATCCCACACCTTGGCAGGTGCCATTGTAATGATATAATGAATGTTATTTACTTCATCTGTCAGTGGTGTAAATGTTGCATCTGATAAGTGTATTTCTGTTTTGTTATAAGATTAAAGTAAAAACCCAGAATGACCCAAGCAGAGTAACCATGCAGTGACATCCCTAAGATGGTGTACGCTGCATGCACTTTTCCATTGACCTTTTTCCTGTGACCTAAAAGGCCTTAAGATAGCGGTGGGAAAAGCATGGTGCAGAACTCCTGAATAAGGCGACATTGAGAAAGTTACAGTGGTGGTCTATAGCTAAAACCCAGGAAGTGGTGGTCTATAGCTAAAACCCAGGAAGTGTCAGAGAAACCGAGGCCCACTCATTATCAACCTGCCCACTCATTATCAACCTGTCATTATCAACCTGCCCACTCATGGATATGGGACCTGGAGTATTCCTCCCTTTTGCAGGACTATGTTCTGCTCGCAGTGGGCATAGGATGAAGCACGCTTTGGCACAGGATACTTTTAAATTCCTGGCAATATACCTGTTCACATTTTACTCTCAGCGATTGATCTGCCCTATTGTCTCAGTTGTTTTGGTTATTTGTGTTATTTTGCCCTACATTCCTCATACAACTCATCTCTTTTTTACTTTACCTTTAAGGAGACCTCCAAGGGGATAAATCTTGATAAGTCAATCTATGCCATGTCTCTTGTTCCCTTATCATTTGCTAATGACCAAATTTAGTGCACACAACTTGTTCATTCCTTGTTGACTGACTCATCATACACATCGTTTTCCTCTTACTTTTCTATACCTTTAAAATGTACTGACATATCTATACATTCCTTTTTCTTCACAGAGCATTGTATTACATTTTCTTCAGTGTATACTGTACATCTTCTGTTATACTTAAGCACAACAAAAAATAATGCATTTTTAAAAAATTATATTATTTATATAAGTTTATATGTTCAAATTTAGACTAAAATGGCTAAGGTGTTGTTGTAGCTCAGTTGGAGAATTTTTATCAGATCAGCTATTTTGCCTAACTTTTGCCATTCAAATTTTAATTCTTTACAAATTGGACTTTAGTGAATGAACCCTATGTGGTCAGACTATTTATTAATGAGTTTATACAAATAAATGTGTTTAATGAAGTAATTTAACATGAATATATCTGTTGTTTTCTTGTCATTTTTAAGAATACCTTGACACTGCCACATGTTTTCAGTTAACAAGGATTTTTGTTGCTGAAATCAGAATTGAAATAATTAATTTATTTATCTCTTATCTAAATCTAACCATGGTTTGTAGAGAACCTAAATATGTTTTTTTGGGGGGGGGAGATTACTAGCTGGGGTTATTTCCACAATTAAACAAGTGTGTTTCTGAAGAATAAACAAAAAATGTCATGGCCTCAGACAGTATATTCTTCCTCCTGGTCACCTTGCTTTTGACATTGTGCAAAGTCATGCATAGTGCCCCTAACCACTACACTTTCTCTGGAGAGCACAAAAAGTCTCTACCAGTGTCATTAAGGCCCCAGAACCTGCATTTCAGTAGTCCAAATGCAGGCTCAAAAGTGCTGGTGGCCATGACATGGGCCTTCTTGTATTTCTATCACTTGATTCAAGATTTTCCTAGAAACTGGACTTATGGGTTAGATTCATATTGTTCAGGTCCTCCTGCAGAAACTCTGTTGCTCAAGAGCTTCAAAAAAACTGGTCCATGGACTACAGATGGACACTCCAACAGTGAACATCTTTCTCCCTGCTAGGGTCTTCCATTGTTAAATTCCATACATTTCTGAGCTGTCTGAGATTGCAGATATGAACTTTACACTTCTTTTTCTTGTTTTTGCAACTGAAAAAGACATTTATGCTTTTTTTTTAAGGAATATGTATGTTTTGCAAGAAAAATGCAAGGAAATGATGCAAGAGACATCTCAGTTGCACTTTTCTTGGATTTTGCATAGTCCGGAAAAAAACAATCATATTAATCTGTAACCTGTAACCATTACTTTTTCATTCAAAAATATATACTTGTTTTTTTTTCACTTCTTGCCCGTGTAGTGCTTTTAAAACAGACTCGGGATAATTATGTAGTAATTAATATTATTGTCCTCATATACTCATGTTGCACAAATACTGAAATTGAGCAGATTGTACCTTTAGCCACATCGTCTCAGTAATGCCTCAGGAATATAAATCCCCAAAATGCACTTTTCTTCTGTTGACTTTATGTCCTCAACATTTTGAAGTACCTTCAGCCACAATCAACCATGCTTTACAGGATATGGGGACCTCTGACAGTAAAGAAGGCTTATAAAATGTATGAATATACATATTTATTGTATGTAGTACAAAAGTCATTGGTGATGAAAAATAATCAAATATCCTAACAATTATTAGCACAAAAGTATTTTAAACAAAAAAAAAATATTTTAGATTAAAAAGCACAGGGGGATTTCTGGGCATTATATACCCATGGAGGGGATATTAAATATTTTACTTTACATGGGGAACTTCAGGAGATTTATATTCTCCCTAGGCAGAATATTGAATAACTGTTTTACACCTATATACACATAAATACCTCATATACGTTTCCATCTTAACAATATGTTTATAATTACTGTAAACATAAATCTATAAATAATTTGTCCTGTAGATTACATACTATGTAGAGATTATATGGTGCATCAGACTGTTAAACGTTTTCAGATCCTAAACCACTGGAGCACTTAAATAATTTCAGAATAATGTAAATTATAAGAATACATTGCATAACTAAGGAGGAAGGAGGCAGCATAGTGACACCCGGTGGTCAGATAAACTTGTTGCAAGACTTCTTTCAAACATTTGTACTATGTTAACTATGTTAACAAAAAATTACTGATATAAAAAAAACATTCTGTTTGGAGCTTTAAAAGAGCAACTACGCTTTAAAAATAAATATTTAGCCCAGAGACCTTACAGGTAAATTTAGATCTAACAATATATACTAAATATCTGCATAATACATTTTACAACAGCTATTTTTACAGAAATATGAAATATATACATTTTTCTTTAGTGTTGCATTACTATCTATAGTGTAAGAGGACACGGTGCATAAACGTAAGATGTTACTTCATTCAAGCAGAGCATCCATTAACATGAAACAGTTGTTTATTCAATAAAACGTGAATTGTAGTGATTAATTTTGTTCCTAGATTTTATTCTATATATTGCAAAGTAGTTTTGAATTTGCCTTAGTTCAGCATACAGTAAATAAATTCAATGTAATGTTGCAAATAAAATTATTTATTAAAATTTCAAAAGATGAAGCACCACACAACGATGTTGCAAATAACAATTCTGGTATCAACGTGAAGGAGAAAACCTACAGCAGAACACAAAAGTGTTGCAAAAAAAAAATAACAATAATACATTTCTTTAAGAGTAATCATAGTGCTGTGTGGCAACATTAAAATGCATATTTCAAAATATAGCAAAATATATTTTATGACTATTCTTTAATGGAAATCTGAGACCCCCTATGATCACCGAGTGGATTGTTGGGGTTAAAGAGACCCACCTGTCACTAGAAGCATCTTTAAAGTCCACTTGTGGCAATGTGATGGAATCATTGGGAGGATTTTCTGTAGTCGGCCTCTTTGTTGGCCCGTGCAGTCCTCTGACCGCCATGTCTTCACTTTCTCATGGAGCACTAGTGTATTTATTTATGTTTCTTTCCCCTTTCTTCCTGTCTATCTTTCTCCTCCTATTTGTTAGCACCCCCTCCTTCTTCCCTCAACCAAAATGGCTACTTTGTAGTAATTTGTAGGTTGGTACAGCTGTTTTTTGTTGCCAGTATTACTTATATTTGTCATATTGCTATCCTATGAATATCTCTGTATCTTGTAAATTCCAAATGATATATTTCTGTAGTTTCTTGTCCATTACATGCATATATAAAATGGTGAAAATACAGTGAGAAAAAAGTGTGTGGTAGTTTAAAATAACTACTGACCACCTAAGTGGAAACCCCTTCTACCACTTAAATAGAAATACAAATAATACATACAATAGGTGGAACACACATCTGTAGAATAAGCCTGGAGCCAATATTAACATATGGCTCTTATGTGCAGCGCAGTGGGACTTTTACATGGATGTCCCCATCCCTCTTGGTATTCCTCCTTTGGTGATATGGTGATGGTAGAAGATCACACTATTCCAATCTGTATCCAATGAGGGAACTTTATTATGAAAAACAATCAATATATTAAAAAATTATAAGGAAATCAATATTCCCAGTAAAAATAAAAATATAGACAATATGTCCAATTAAAAGTCCAATATGCAGACTGTAGTAGTCCTATTGATTGTTTTTCATAATAAAGTTCCCTCATTGGATACAGATTGGAATAGTGTGATCTTCTACCATCACCATATCACCAAAGGAGGAATACCAAGAGGGATGGGGACATCCATGTAAAAGTCCCACTGCGCTGCACATAAGAGCCATATGTTAATATTGGCTCCAGGCTTATTCTACAGATGTGTGTTCCACCTATTGTATGTATTATTTGCATTACATGCATAGCCTGCATTTTCTTTGGTGTTGGTCATGTTTTTCTTTTGTTTGTGTATTGCCATTTGAAGACAGTTTATCCTTGCCTTTACCGCATTTTCTCCGCTTAATAACGCTTTAATAAACACGTTACACAATTGATCTCCCTACATGACTGCAAAGGATGCTGTTTTGTTCACAGCTCAGATTTTATGCTTTTGTAATGTTGTGGTGTTGGTATTTTTTAAATATGTCACTGATTTCTACAGATAGTAAGCAGAATATAAATATATTTATTTTTAATAAAATTATTTGTAAATAAGTTTAACCACAAAATATATATAACAAGTCCAACCGAGCAACTTGTTTTCAGCTGCATACATGTAACACAGTCTTTTTTTTTTTTAAAAACCTATCCTCATAGGGCAGTAAAATAATCATTTCTCCTGTGGCCAATATATGAGCTGAGTGCCTGAATGCATCTACTCTCTATCACAGAGTGGATATGAAATGGCTGACAACTGACAGATGGAAGGCGAGCTGACGGGAGTGTGGGCTGATAAAGTGTGGGCTGACAGCAGGAATGCACAACGTCGTGGTCTTGCGATCTATCGATAAGATCTCTGCTGTTTATGACCTTCTGGGAACAGCAGGTACATGTGGCCATCTTGGATGTGGTGAACCCCAGTTTTGTTCTCCCGGAACCCTGGGGAACACCAATTGGGAAATGCTGATCTAAAGAGTTATATGAACACTATAAAGTTAGGAATATATGTTTGTATTCCTAACGTTATAGTGTTCCTTCAAGACGGTTATCAAGTCACAATGAAATACTCAGGATTATACAGTTAAGCGTGAAATGTTGGGAATTCCTAGTATTGAGCCAATATAGACCAACTTGAAAATTGTCCACATAAGCTATGTTGTCACTTTTTGTATTTTGGTCTAAAATGTTAAACTTACTCTGAACTCCAGATAATTCACACTTTCGTGAAAATCTTTGACTCTTTTGTGACTTTTTCAACAAGAGTTCATATTCAGAAATTCTGTAAACTTCAAAAAGCTCATAGGCAGAGATTCTGTAAAGTTCACTAGAAATGAAGTCTTCAATAAATGAAAAGTCTGGAAATGCCACATTTGTGATATGTTTTATTACATCTGCATCAATTTCAGTAGGACCACATTACATTATGTCTACCTTCATAAGTCCACTTTTCATACTTTTTGCTGAATAATCCCTTTTTAATACCAGCTGTGCTTCTTATTATATCACAATCACCGACCGGTGCTGTAAAAGTCATATCTAAAATTAGCATTAATTATTTCATTTCAGGTGTTGTAAAAGAAGGTGCGAAACATAATGAAATAATTCAACTGACAATTAGGACGAATCTCCTAACTTGGAAAAAAATATTTCTTTAATTATTATGCCCACGATTAAAAGGTGATCTGTCTTTTGAGAAAACTTGCGGATGTAGTTATTTTAATAACTCTAAGATGCTAAAAATGCTTACTTTTGAATGTTGAGAATACATTGAATAAACGTTTTCTAACACACATAAATAATATATAGCCAGCACCTGCCAGAATGCCCGCCATCAAAGTGGATCCGAGGATAGATGGGGCACGTTTTCTGGCCACGCGGAATGCAGTTGGTAAGACAGCAGAAATTAATATATTGTTGACATTTCCGAGAACACTGTTAAAAGTCTTTCGTTGTAGGATACGCTCATAATATAATTCCATATTGGGGCGCTTTCCGTTCCCCCAGTTTCTTCTAGCAAATCCGAGAAACTTCAGTCGATGTAATGTCACAGCTAAGGTTACGTCTGCAAGGCTAAAAAACTGTCCACAGAGCCAAGACTCTTTGCCTTCATCTAAATTCAAAAAATACAAATACATATTAACAATGAGATGAAAAATATAATATATAAATATTATGCTTTTTTTAATATTAAATTAAGGAGAGAGTACACACTTAAAGTGGCAACTAATGAAAATATTAAACTCTGTTGTCACCCCACATGGTAATAGATTTCAAAAACATCTATTAAAATCAGTTTGGGGGGAGGGAAGGCTGAGCCAAAGGGACATTGGAGCTCTGACCAACATGCAATTTCAATAAATTTTAAAGGCACAAAACATGCAATTTGCCTGGGAGCACCCCTTCAAACTATTGGCTTTTCACAACGGAAACACTAGAGTGCTTCTACCCACTGAGGACCCTCAGTGGGAGGTGATTCATTTAAACAGTCCAGTTATAAGATTAACTTTGACTAATCCAGTGCTTTACCCATACATGTGTCTGTAGAGGATTCTTAACAGCTTGAGGACATTTTTAAAATCCAAAAACAATGCTTAATTAAATATCTAGGAGTCCAGATCACGGATACAACTAAGACCCTTTTTGTGGCTAACTATACCCCACTGTTTCTTTACCTCAGGAAGGACTTGAAAAATTGGGGTGATAAACTGATATCCTGGATTGGTAGAGTATACTGTGTAAAAATGAATGCACTTCACAATTACTGTTTATTTTCAAAGCCATCCCAGTATACATTACTAAAAATGATTTGAAGGGGATGTACAGAGCAATAGATACATTCATTTGGATAATAAAAGTAATAGGTTGGTGAGAAAAATCCTATAGAGACCCAAGGAAAGAGGGGGGCTGGGACTTGTTGGCAGATGTGTGGCCAGAAGTGAACTTACTATTACATATGGAGGACATGCTTTGTGGTGATCCACATTTGGAAAAAGATGGGAGAGTTATTGGGGGCAATATTTCAGAGATCATTCACTGTGGATCCATTGTTGTTTCTCTTGTCTCGCCCCTAGAAGGTTTCCCGAGAAGGTCGCAGAAGCTCCTCAACAAAATAAATCTAGCCACTGGGAAAATTGGCTGGAAATTCAGTTCCATTGATCCATAAGATAAAGGCCAAAATCCAGGAAAATCACCTAATGTGTGGGCACATTGCAATGATTATGTCACTCCCTTGTAATAGGGAACAAAATCACGGTTCACATTTTTCCATCGCAGTGGGCATTCATCACCTGCTCCCACCCAAGTCTTTCCCTGTTTTGTTGTTGAATTATTAGTTAAAACTATCATGAGCTACCAGCACTTTCAAGTTGACGCATGGCATGAAGCGATTGTAAAACTATGTGATTTCTGTCATAGGGAACTGCTATTGTTAAGTTGGTTAGGTTTGTGTACTGCAACTGTTGATACTTTCATGTGAAAAATGCACTACCTTTATCTGCTCTTGTCAAAATAAAAAGCTGTTAAAAATAGGTTATAGAAGGGCTGTACATACCCTGCTTCCCTGAAAAGAAGACATTCTCTGAAAATAATCCCTAGCTTATTTTTGGGGGATGCTCGTAATATAAGCCCTACCCTAAAAATAAGCCCTAATCACTAGTTCGCTAATCTATGTTCGGGGAATTTTCTCAGGATTTCATTCGCAAGTAAGCTAATCTATGTTCGGGGAAGTTTCAGGGGAAAAATTAATATAAAACCCGGTCTTATTTTCGGGAAAAGACAGTATAACTGAGCCTCTAGAACACAAATCAATAAATGTGAAAACAAATATGGGCAATTGCAACTTGGATTCTAATCCAAAACAAACATGACCAAGTACGAATGTGGAAATTCGGATAGAAGCATGATGAAACTAAGTACAAGTTAATACATTTTATTTGTTCTTAGCTATTTCAGAATAGGATCTAAGTGCAATTGCTAATGGAATCAGTGTTTCATTCAATTAACTCCTATCCACGTTTAGTTCCCTCACTTTATGTTTAATGTCTTGTATCATCTCTACAATTCCTTGTTTTCTGGTATCATGAATCTGTTGTATACAGGATGTTGAGATTCCTCTGGTGGAGAGTAATGTATAATTCTTCCCAAATGTTCCTATGAAGTTATCTGCTTTTGTTTCCCTATACACTAGCATATTAACATTTATTTGTCTTAAAAATACTATTTAGCCGGCTTTTTTCCTCCTTAGCTGTTGCAAGAAGATTTCGTCTAAGACAAAGGAAAGGTTTTTTTACTGTAAGAACAATCAGGATGTGGAATTCTCTGCCTGAAGAAGTGGTTTTATCAGAGTCCATACAGATGTTCAAACAGCTACTAGATGCATGCTCGCAAAAACAGAATATTCAAGGATATAATCTTTCAATGTAGGGTAATAACTGCTTGATCCAAGGATAAACCTGACTGCCATTCTGGGGTCAAGAAGGAATTTTTTCCTAGCTTGTTGCAAAATTGTGCTTCAAACTGGGGTTTTTTGCCTTCTTTCGGATCAACAGCAAAAAACAAATGTGAGGAAGGCTGAACTGGATGGACGCAAGTCTCTTTTCAGCTATGTAACTATGTAACTATGTAACTATGTAACCTTGCTTAGCTCTCAATGTTTTCACTACGCCTAATTTCAAGTATATCTTAAATCAGTCATGTATTCTTGTTCAAGGCCTTGATTCTGCACCTGACTGTGTCTTCTCCTCCAGTGGGATAAGGTTATAAGATATCATATCAGAAATGCTGACAACTAAACAGTGCTTATACTTAGTTAGTCAGATAAGGTATGGATGGTTTTCCTTAGCTGAAAGAAATATGTAAAAAATCCTTGAAAGGTTAGAACTGCATAAAATCTGACTTCTATATTGGTCTGAAAAACATTTCACAGTAATTGAAACAATGATTAGAATTAGAGATAAGATATTTTGATGGTTATAGTTTTATGAAATATGCGCTGGAATATTATGTTACCACACACCTGGTGTTTCTTCGTTTCGTCTCTGGAGTTCGGTTTCCACTTGATCCAAGACCTTATCTAATTCTTCAAGTATTTTCTTCAAGTACTTTATATTGTCATGGTCCAGCAATTTTGTCTAGAAACATAAGCCATACTATTATATGCTAACAAAACAAAAAATTACTAGCCAGCAGCATGATTGTTATAACAGGAGAAAATAGGGATGCCCAAACCAAACAAAAAGTAATAACTTCATAACCAACCCACCAAACCTAAAGACACAGTAATAATATTGTAAGTATGGACTCTATATCTTCATAGCAGGTTCCCTTTTTGGCATAGACTTCATACCACTACTTTATATTGTTTATAGTTAAGGTGGCTGTCATGAATTTTATTTTTAAGAAGTGTGTTTTTTTACTCTGCATACTATGACTCTTCTCTGGCTTCACTACAACAGTGGATTCATGTCAGTATAAAATTAGTTACAAACAGAGGTTAGAGAAGACACACATCATTTCAAAGACAACGGTATAGGGTACGACCAGAGAAACCTCCAAAGCCCCATTCACCATGCAATATTAATAATCAGGGGGCTATTACCTAATTACTTTATTTATTACTTTTTTAATATGGCGTCTGGCCAGCTGCCACATAAATAACACTTGCACCTGGCTGCTAGCGAATATCTGATTCCTATTCTTTATACGGGTTCGCATGCGATTACTGCATTTGGCTGTAGTAAATCTGAGAATTGCCTACGAGGTCAGAATTTGGTCAATATTTTGAATTTGGACAAAATCTTGTGTTTGTGAAGAACTCTGTAAAGTCAGAATTCCAAGCGAATTCAAAGTGAGTTTTTAAATTTAAACTATACATACAATTGGTGGAGCATTCCGTATTTCTGTAAAATGACAAAAGAAGTACAAAGACTAGTGCAATATGTAATGAATACGTACTATGTACAGTAAAATGAGAATGGAAACACTCACAAGCCTGGAGCCAAAGTTTTAAATTTAAGGCAGGGATAGGTGAACTTAAAGCATTGCTAACTTAGAGATTTTTGGGAGTTTGGCTATTTTGATCTTAAATTTGATATTCACTTTGAATTCACCTTAATTCTGACTTTCCTGAATAACCCTGAGTGAGAATTGTTCAAAACGTACCAGGGATTTTCATATTTTAGGACTATTTGCATTAGTAAATAACACTATAAGTTTAAAGGACCACTATAGTGCCAGGAAAACATACTCGTTTTCCTGGCACTATAGTGCCCTGAGGGTGCCCCCACCCTCAGGGACCCCCTCCCGCCCGGCTCTGGAAGGGGGAAAGGGTTAAAAACGTACCTTTTTCCAGCGCTGGGCGGAGAGCTCTCCTCCTTCTCTCCTCCTCCGTTCCTCCTCCTCCTGGGCTGAATGTGCACACGCGGCAAGAGCTGCGCGCGCATTCAGCCCATCGCATAGGAAAGCATTTACAATGCTTTCCTATGGACGCTTGCGTGCTCTCACTGTGAAAATCACAGTGAGAAGCACGCAAGCGCCTCTAGTGGCTGTCAATGAGACAGCCACTAGAAGATTAGGGGGAAGGCTTAACCCATTTATAAACATAGCAGTTTCTCTGAAACTGCTATGTTTATAAAACAATGGGTTAACCCTAGCTGGACCAGGCACCCAGACCACTTCATTAAGCTGAAGTGGTCTGGGTGCCTAGAGTGGTCCTTTAAAGAAAGTATTAGTCAAATACCCAAGTTAATGTTGGGAACTCCTTATGTAGGAATTCCAGAAGTTGACCCGTTAACATGCTACCATTTCTTCTACCCCTATGTATTTGGTTTGTGAGTGGTCAGGCTCTGTCCCATTTTCTATGGTTTTCACTTTTTATAGATCTAAACAACTGAAGAACTCACTTTTATACGCTTTTGTTTTGCTATGTAGGCATCTTCTAGATCTGGATTTTCCTCAGCAAGTTTCTTGAGTTCAGATTCAGTATTTCCTATTTGAGCTAAGAATCCAAAAAACAACAGATTTGCTTTGCTTTATTTCAATATTTAGTGCTATTGTTACCATGGTATACAGGATATCGGTAAGAAGTTCCCAAAGTTGTTACTTTACAAGGGCTGTAATGAGCCTGATCAATGGACCCACAGAATCAATGTTCACATCATTATATGCATAAGAAAAAATGACTAGGATGATTGATTAACAATCAATATTAATCTGGCAGTACCTCTTGTGTCTGAAGGTATTAGTCAGAATGATATAAAGTTGAAAGCTGTATGTTTGCTCAGTGTTTTCAATCGACACCACACCTACAGGCATTATAATATGTTGCTTGGACTTAAATTCAGGCATTTCCTTGCCAATGTATATATGTGACACTACCATAATTTGAGCATTGGGCAACATTACACAAAAACTAAGTGATCTGTTGGTCTCTTGAAGAATAAACTGTCATTAAAAAGTTAATTCAAAAGTTAGTTTGGTGGCAAAAAACTTGAATGCCTTTTGATACTGATATTATATTTGTGTACTCTAATAATTTTCTATTGGTATATAAACCGAATGGTAATATATTTTTAGTAAGAATTTGGAGTGATTTATTTTTTGGTTAATGCACCCTACCTGTATGAAAATGCTGAGTCCCCAGCTCCCCACTACTAATGTAAAGGTCTGTGGATGTGGCCAATGAAATAATTTTGTCTGTGTATATTTATTTTCAAGGCACCAAATTATGTGTATTTAAGAGAACGTAAGCTATATTTTTTATATGTGGTATGTATCACCAAAAGATAACAGTCAGTAGAGTCAGGCATTCTTATACATACCACGGATCCTAGACGTTGCATAAGCAGGTATCATAGAATCTACTGTTAATTCCGGATGTAGAATGCAGCCATGTGTATAGGCATCGATGGGCAAGGAGTCTAGCAGTTCTCGATAGTGCTGGACTCTGGGATAATACATGCTTCCTTCTTGTGGCATTAATCTGGGTGTGTTTTCTGTTAACAAAATACATAATTAGTTTTATTTTGATCTGCTGTAGTAAATCAATAGTCAATGTTACAATTATGCATGTGTAATCTAAACAAGGAACGTGGATTTACGTAAGAGAAAAAAAGACTAAGGCAAATCACATAGTTTAAAAGAAAACTATTTAAAAATATACTAATTAGCCACAACATTAAAATCAGCTGCCTAATATTACGTATGTCCCCCTTGGGCTGCCAACACAGCTCTAATGCGTTGAGGCATGGACTCCACAAGGCCTCTGAATGTTTCCTGTGGTATCTGGCACCAAGACATGAGCAGCAGGTCATAAGTTGCAAGGTGGGGTCTCCATGGATTTGATTTGTTGTTCCAGCACATCCCACAGATGCTCAATCAGATAAAGATCTGGAGGCCAAGGCAAAACCCTGAACTCTTTGTCATCTTCCTCAAACCATTCATGAACATGTTTTGCAGTGTGGCAGAGTGTAGTATCCTGCTGAAAAGATGCCTCTGCCATCAGGGAACACCATTACCATGAAGAGTTGTATGTGGTCAGCAACAATCTCCTTCCATGCACCACTTTTGGTAGGTACTAACCATTGCATAGCGGAAACATCCACAAGACGTGTCATTTTTGGAGATGCTCTGACCAAGCTGTCTATCCATCACTATTTGGCCCTTGTCAAAGTCACTCATATTATTTTGCTTTCCTATTTCCCCTGCTTCCAACACATGAAATTCAGGAACGGACTGTTTACTTGCTGTCTAATATAGCCCACCCCTTGACAGTAGTTATAATGTTGCGGCTGATCAGTGTAAACTAGAGTGATGTTGTGTTTATATTAAAGATGTTGCTTTATCTGATCGAGCAATAGATGCCATTAGAAAAACTAAAAAACAAACAAGCAATAGAAGGCGCTAAAAGTGCTTACTATTGAATAAATATAAAGATAATAAAGGTAGAGCAGCACCTAAAAGTGTACAAAGCTCATAAAACACCATACATAAGATACAAATAAAATAGGTGCGCTGTGGGTTCACACATTAAATACCCTTGAACCTAAGGGTCTTAACATTGAATTCGACTTGTATAACTTTTTTTAATATCTTTAATCATTTTTATATTTTTAATATTTGCTATTTTTTAATTTTCTATTTTTTTATTTTTTATTCTGCATGCTGTCTTTTAGTATTTTTAGGTGTTTTATTTTAATAAGATGATTATTAATTACCTTCTTCCTTTTCTTCCTTAATAGAAGGTTTTTTTCGGGTATACACATTTTTTACATATGTGTATATATATTCTCTTATTCTGTGTCTGTTTTTATCCTTTATTAAGATGCTAATGAAAGAAGTATATGTGTAATATATGTGTTCTATTATTATTATTATTGTTGTTTTGAATAAGGCATATGGACATTTATATACTAGATATCCATGAGGAAGTGGATCAGCTCTGTGTTATTTTTAAATTGCTGTTGTATATTTTATGGGACTTCTTAAAATTGACATTTAGAAGATCAACCCCTAATGAGATCATGGGGAGTCTTTGAAACGATTGATGTATACCACGCCCATTGTATGGGCTTTAAAAGGCAGGATCAGCTACATTAGGACGTGATCTGAGGAAGCCGATTGGGCGAAACACGTCATCACGTCGATTACGTCATCACGCCATCACGTGACCGGACGGAACCCCGAGTTCCAGGAAGTGAAACCACTTGCAGTGCCGAAAATTACCAAGGACTGGTAGATATTCGTAATACAGCACTGACAAAAGGTTACTAGACTTCTAAATGGAACCGGGACTGTGGATTTTAACTTTTAATAAAGGCTGTTTACATTGAGAGCTGGCGTCCTGCCTACTTGTACCATCATTCAAGTCCTGGTTTGAGGACTATAAGCTGGATCAGTTAGAGCAGGCTTTTACTGCTCTCCCTTTGTGAGTGATATTCCTATTTTATACTGTTGGTTCTTATACTTATTTTTAAACTGGATTATGCTATGTTTCTCCATTTTATATCTCCCTTTACATATGTTCTCATTCGATTTGGAGCACCAAAGGAGATATACATTTTTTCTATAAGTTATTATTCGCATATTGGTCTTTCACTACTTCACTTGCAATTTTGCACATATGTTACACTGAGTGTGGTTATACTGTGCACACACTCCTTGTTTTTTCGCACTAATTTATGCACTATTTGCACTTTTAAATATTTAAAGGTACAGCGCACCTATTTTATTTGTAATAGATGCCATTACACATATTACCCACCTCACTAGTGCTTATTTTATGAAACTTGATTTATAAACTAAATGGTGAATTGGAAAAAATGGCAATATTTAGGCCAAAACACTGTTCATTGAATAAACCCTACATAATTGTGATTGAAAAGGAATCTGGTATAGTATGAACAGAATAAGATAGCACACATATAACAAGGAACAGACAAGATCACAGTGCCATGTGCCTAGAGCAGTGAAATCTCTCAGTCCAGTAATACTACAGAATGACCAGAAATCACAGGTAAGTCCTTTTCAAGGATTTCGTTCCAAAACAGAGTTCAAGTTGTGTCTTACATAGAGCATTTTTCGAAATGGTTTGAGAAGGACTCTGTGAGCCAAAACATTGTATGTCGATTTGGATGTAATTAATTACCTGTTATATCTAGTCATTTTGTTGTACCATGGAATAGAACCTGCAACACTTCTAGTGAACAGCTGGAATGAAAATGAAAAACAACTGAGCTATTTACAAAGTGATGCATACAGTAATGAATTGTCAACTGGTTTTGAATAAGCTAGATGTTAACTCACTAGAACTTACTGTTCAATGAATGAACCCTAAATTTTTAAAGGGAAACTATAGTCACCCAGACCACTTCTGCTCAATGTTTACATAGCAGGGTTAATCCAACCTCTAGTGGCTGTCTTCCTGGCATCCAGCATGCAGAACGTCCATAGGAAAGCATTGAGAAATGCTCTCCTATGGACTGTTTGAATGCACGCGTGGCTCTTGCCGCGCATGCGCATTCCGCTCCAAATGGGATCTGATGTTGGCGGGGGAGGAAAGGTCACCAGCGCCGAGGAAGCCCAGTGCTGGATTAAGGTAAGCTGCTGAAGGGGTTTTAACTTCAGCTCCACGGGAAGGGGACCCTGAGGGTGAGGGTTCCCCAAGGATGACATAGTGTCTGGAAAATGGGTTTGTTTTCCTGACACTAGAGTGATCATTTAAAGTAGAACTGTGAATTGTTGGGTCTGCATATTTTACAACAACCCCTCGAAAACTCCAGTGATACCATGGAAATATCCATAAATGTTCTCATACATGTGAAGTGAGGTGTTATCGGCAGGAATGGAAAATCTGAGACAGCTTAGTGTAAATAGCAAAATGTGGATTTTAATGATCTTTCAAAACGGTCTATCTTTTGATAAAAACTAAGAAGCATCAGTGCACTTTAAATACCGGCCCTGTGTATAAGATATTTAAATTGCATGGTTAATTAGATGTTTTGAGCCCTACATCTAAGACATGATACACAGATCAAAATCAATTCACTCTACTTTCCAGAAAGAAAAGGAATGCAGGAGGTCAAAATAAACTTACCATCTTTGAAAGTATGTTCCAGATAATCTATGATTTGCGTGGCTTCACAAATGATCGTTTCTCCATGAACAAGAACAGGGACTTCCCCTGAGGGGTTCAACCTCATAAACCAGGGTTCGTTGTGTTCATTTAATGGGAGACTCACATCATGCTCTTCACACTTCAGTGCCTTCTCTGCTATGACAAGACGAACCTGCAAGCAAAACAGACATAAATAAACATAAAGGCCATTGAGTTGGATCTGTATGGGTTACCAGCAGCAACATTTTGAACACACATATCTCAATACAGACAATGCTCTACTTTTTCCTATTTGCCTAACTTGTATCTATTAAACAGCGCAGCAGAATATATTGGTGCCTTAAAAAATTGTAACATGGGTTTTGTATTTAATACTGTTCAAATGGTGGCAAAAAGAGAAACTGATAATTATATATATATACATATATATATATTTCTATACACTGAACAAAATTATAAACGCAACACTTGTTTTTGCCACCATTTTTTATGAGCTGAACTCAAAGATTCATTGAGCATAAGTGGCCTGGGTGACTATAGTTTCCCTTTCTATGTACACCAAGCATGTCAAACTCGTAGCCAACAACAAACTTCCTTGCGGCCCAGCTAATCAGGAGTGCCAGTCAAGGGGGCACAAAAATCGCTTGTCAGACTTGGCTTGTGCCCCCAGGCAGCGTGCGGTTCCCACAAGCACAGTAGGGGGAGCGCCTCCCGCTCTGTGTAGGGGCGCCGGGTGTCACGTGACTACCCGGTGCTTAAACTTTCAGCATGCAGCTGGAGAGTGAGCGGTTCCCATGTCAGGTAAAGTGGAAGGGTAGAGCAGAGCCGGTGCCTGAGGTAAAGGGTACAGCTGCCTGAAAATAGGGAACGAGGGAGGGAGACTGGGGGGGGTGTGGATGGGGAGACACATGGATGAAATGTGTAGGAAAGAAGACATGGGGGGAGAGATATGCATTGGATGGAGGCAAAGGAGAAATGAATGGAAGGCGGAGAGGAAGATATAAATGGAAGGGGGAGAGGGAGATATTAATAGAAGGGGGCAGGGAGCTTTGAATGGAAGGGGGGTGAAGACATGGATGGGGGAGAGAGACATGGATGGAATGGGTAGGGAGGGAGACATGGGGGAGAGACATGAATGGAAGGGGAGGGAGATGTGGGGGTAGAGATATCTTAGGGAGGAGGGGAAGGAGATATGAAAGGAAGGGGGAGGAGACATGGATGGGGGAGAGGAGTGGGAGACATGGATGGAACAGGGGAGAGGGAGACATGTATGGGAGAGCAATATGGATGAGAGGGTAGAGAGACATGGAATGGAGAGAAACAGAGAAATGGATGGAAGGGTGGAGAGAGACATGGAATGAAAAGAAACAGAGACATGAATGGAAGGGGGGAGAGAGACATGGATGGAAGGTGGGTAAAAGCGGAGTGTGCAGGAACACCTTACTATGCCTGGAGATTTCAGAGGGACTAGAAAGCAAACGGACTGAGACTGCAGTTTGCTGAGGGTGCGAGCGGAGCAGACACTCCAGACCATGGCATTACTACTGGGACAGTTAGTAACTTGAGGTGAAGCTTTCGAGTAAATTATTTATATGTACCCAGGATTACATATTGTTTGAATGAGAATAATACAAGTAATTTTAGTTGGTATTCCTCTAGGTCAAACTTTTATTTTTATTTTTTTTCTGCGGCCAACTTAAACTTAAACCTTGATTATTTGGCCCTTGCTAGCTTTCGAGTTTAACATGCTTGATGTACAAAAAAGGCCCATTTCTTTCAAATATTGTTCAGGAGAAGAGCTCACTAACACAGATTTAGACCGATTTGTGAACAATATTTGAGAGAAACAGGCCTTTTGTGTAGATAGAAAAAGTCTTAGATCTTTGAGTTCAGCTCATGAAAAATGGGGGCAAAAACAAAAGTATTGCGTTTATAATTTTGTTCAGTGTGTGTATATATACATATATATATACATATATATATATTGTGGCATATAATACTATATATATATTTCATAGCATATTATACAATGTGTATGAAAATGTGTAACTACACGTCTTGAATGATGGGATCATATAACAAAATATTGTTTTCTAATAATGCTGTAGAAATGTTTTAGTTTTTTTTCAATCATATTTGAATAACAGTTATATGTAAAATTATAAAAAAGGTAAATAAAATAACAGCATACATGACAGAAGAGTGTAGGAGAAAGGGTTGTGTGACAAACATGCAGAAGGGATACATAGGTAAAACACATCTGATTCTACATGTGAATATATGGGAGGAGCAAGGCATGGAACACTGGGGGATAACTGGGTTAATTTCTGTAGCAAATCGTCCCTGTTGTAACATTATATCCATGGTTTCAGTGCTGATCTCATTGTGTTTATGTAAATTCACGGCTGACAAAGCAAACCATTCTAAGACTTGTCACAGCTACAGCCACAGATTAGGCTATGGGAGTTGGCCTGCACATGGTACCGTGGGAGCTGTCCAGGGACTGAACCCTCACACACTCAGCCAGCAGCCTGCACTCACCTTCTGGGAAGTGAATGAGTGGGTCCAGTGATAGAGGATCAGCTTATCTTCAGTGTCTGCATTCCTTGCAGGGAGGATGCCTGCCTGCTCAGTCATATTTATGGAAGGAAGATGCTGAAGCAGTACTAGCTTCCCTTGTTCAGTGTAGAGCTGGCTGGTCAGAAGGAGCAAAGCATCATGGGAGATGTAGTTTTATGTGTTTTTCCTGGTTTCTGAGATGGATCTGCAGTTGGCTGCAAGCATTGGAAGTAACAACACTGCCATCAGTGACTGTAGCCATACAGCATTTCTAAAGAACATACAAGGAATGTATTTTTGTGATCAGCATTCTGTTTTGAACATTATTACATCTTTAATTACATTTTGTTTTATCAATAGAATTGCATAGTGAAGTATATGAAGTTAGATATAATGTACCGTACATTAAGTCATAGTTGGAGGAAATAAATTACTGCAAATCCATGCTTCTAAAATAATAAAAACATATTGGGGTTTATTTGAAAATAATAATCCAGAAACACTTGGTGGCAAGTATACACACAGGTTTACACAGAAACACACACGATAACACACAGATACACATACACACAGTAACACACTGACACACACACTAACACCCACAGATACACAAATCCATGCTTCTAAAATAATAAAAACATATTGGGGTTTATTTGAAAATAATAATCCAGAAACACTTGGTGGCAAGTATACACACAGGTTTACACAGAAACACACACGATAACACACAGATACACATACACACAGTAACACACTGACACACACACTAACACCCACAGATACACAAATGGACATCCACAGATACATACACACACTGACAACCACAGCTACATACATACACTGACACCCACAGATACATACACACACACTGACACCCACAGATAAACACAGACACTCACATCCACAGATACATACACACACTGACACCCACAGATACATCACACACTGACACCCACAGAATACACACAAACACACACAGACATCCACAGATACATACACACACAGTGACACCCACAGCTACATACACACACTCACATCCACAGATACATGCACACACTGACACCCACAGATACATACACACACACTGACACCCACAGATAAACACAGACACTCACATCCACAGATACACGCACACACACTGACACCCACAGATACATCCACACACTGACACTCACAAATACACACAAACACAAGCACTCACATCCACAGAGACATGCACACATACAAATATCTATCTTCATGTGGGCCCTGGGTTGGATACACAGGCATTGTACCTCTGTAATGAGGGATGGTCCTGGGACATATTTTTGCTTGGACAGGAGCTCAAAACATTGTATTGTCCTGGCCAATGTGGGGCAGTTGGTAACTATGCATCCAAAATAAAGTTGGCAGACACAGCATGTATAGAATGCCATGCTCAAACGCACTTACACATGTATAGTTATAGCTCTACTATTGTAGTCTATATTCTGAAAAATGGTTTGTTCCTTTTTCCACGATGCTCAGTTAATGGTTTCAGTAAATGTGGATAATCAAATATGTGTAATATAGAGACACTTAAACAAAGTACCGTGCCAAGGAAAAGTGATATTTATTTTGACATTACCTGCTGTTATAACAGTGAAACTTGTGCTGAACCTATTTCTTAAGCATGCAGGCAACAAAATGAATACCAACGCATTTCTAGATGATCTTAATTTCATTAATAATCTGGAATATAAACATCAGACAAGGTTTGCAGTAGATAATACAGTGGTGTATGACATATAATCTTTAGTTCTTTCGTCAAAAATAGACGTGTGCAATTCGTTTCGTTCTGAATGTCAATTCGGATGAATTTCGGGAAATTCGGACATTCGGATGCTTCCGAATGTCCGAATAGCTGAATTGCAGAATTGCCGTAGTTCCGAAGTGCTGAAGTTCCGAAATTGCTGAAGTGCCGAAGTTCCGAAGTACTAATATACCCAGTGGAAGAATGAAGAATTTTACACTGTCTACCAGTTTAAATAAAAAGTATACAGACATAGCCAGGATTAAGCTGTAAGCATTTGCAACACTTACAACAATCAAGTAACACATTCATATAAAATGTAAGTTACTTAGCTAGTCAATGGATGGGAATGACCTATTGTCCTCCCCTCCCGCCCCCCACCCCTGAGCGGCGGGTGGGGGCCCTAAAGTAAACTAAGGGGGGACGGACCTATTGTCCTCCCCCCTGAGCGGCAGGTTGGAGCCCTAAAGTAAAATAAGGGGGGGACCTATTGTCCTCCCCCACGGCCTCCACCCCAGAGCAGCGGCTGGGGGCCCTAAATTAGAATAAGGGGGGGACCTATTGTCCTCCCCCCTGGCATCCACCACTGAGCGGTGGGTGGAGGCCCTAAATTAGAATAATGGAGGGACCTATTGTTCTTCCCCCGGCCCCAACCCCTGAATGGTGGCTGGGCGCCCTAAATTAGAATGAGGTGGGGGACCTATTGTCCTCCCCCCAGCTCCCACCCCTGAGCGGTGGGTGGGGGCCCTAAATAAAAATTTAACCCCCCCTCCAGGTGAGTAGGGGTCCCCAAACCCCTAGTCACCCCCTAAACAAAATTAATTAACCCCTACCTACCCCCCTCACCTTAAAAAAATTGAGGGCGGACCAATAACTAAGTACCTGTAAATAAATAAATACAACTTACCATTTGATGTCTTCTTTTTTCTAAAATCAGGGGTGGGGGCCATGGAGGGAGGACAAAAGGCTACCCCCCTTATTTTACTTTAAAGCCCCCACCCGCCGCTCATGGGTGAAGGCCGCAGGGGAGGACAATGGGTCCCCCCATTATTTTCTTTAGGGCCCCCACCCACCGCACAGTGGTTAGGGGCGCAGGGGAGGACAATGGGTCCCCCCATTATTTTCTTTAGGGCCCCCACCCACCGCACAGGGGTGGGGGCCAGAGGGGAGGACAATAGGTCCCCCCTATTCTAATTTAGGACCCCACCCGCCGCTCAGGGGTGGGTTCTGGGGGGGAGGACAATAGGTCCCCCCCATTATTTTACTTTAGGGCCCCCATCTGTCGTTTAGGAGTGGAGGCCGGGGGGAGGACAATAGGACCCCCCCTTATTCTTCTTTAGAGCCCCCACCCGCCGCTCAGGGGTGGGGCCCGGGGGGGCAATAAGTCCCCCCTTCAGTTTAAAAGCCCCCATTCGTGCGGCACGGGTGAGGCTCGAGAGGAGGGACATTTCTTTTTTTGTTTGTTTGTTTCTTTAACAGTGAGCAGCCACAGGCAGAATTTACTAATACTAAGTAATTTTTACTAAGTATTAGTACATTTGTCTGAAAGACCAATTTAGATCTTTCAGCCATTTGGTAGATTGCTCACTAATACTGTGGGAATTAGGGAATTATGTACTAAGCGGCTGCAAGAGAACAGCCGAAGTCCCAAAGTACCGAAATTCCGAAGTCCTGAAGTTCCAAAGTTCTAAAGTTCCGAAGTTTCGAATTCCCAAATTTCGGAATGCCGAACCGAATATTTTCCACATGCACATCCCTAGTCAAAAATACAACATACATTGTAACAGTTTACTCCATACAAATAAGTGTGAAGGATCAAATATTTTATATAATATTTTGTTACTAACTGGAGGTAGATAGAAAATGACAGATTGAAGTGAGGGGTAGAAGAAAGACAAAAATAATTTGAATGATATTAAAAATAAATGAATAGTCTTGTTTAGTGTACCAAGCAGGCTGTACAGGCATCCCTACATTTCCTGCCAGACATTTATACAATTTTAATTATGTTTTCTTTGTCCATCCTTTACATAAATTTTGCAACTACGTAGGGACTGCACAACACATCTGAACATGTCCTGTGATATATGTCACCAAGACATTATTAGCAGCAGATTATTTAAGTCCTGCAAGTTGCTAGGCGGGGCCTCCATGGAACGGATTGTTGTTCCAGCATGTCAAGCTACAGTACCCGTGTGTTCAAATGCTGCTTTTACGGTCAACCGCTCCATGATAAACAAGTCTTACATGGCGTATAGAAATGTCAATCCCCTCAGCCATCACCAGTGAAAGCTGCAGGAAATTGGCGCTGTCTATGCAGGATCACGTTGTCTCGCTGGATCCTCTATTAGCCATATGTCCAGTGGATGCATGCACCCAGGGACCCTCTATATCTATATAATAGGTGTTAGGATGGATTTTTTTTGCCTGGACTGTATGTATAACACGGATAGCAATGAAACATAAACCAGGACCTGCCTTTTATAAAGAAGTATTTTATTATATCACACAATATATAACATGTACTCAAGTTTTATGTAGGCATGTGAATTTAATCACGTCATTTAGGCATACATTTGTCTTTATAGTGTTTCCATAATACGATCCAACGCTAGCTGTATTCCTACCAGTAAGCACATAGTGTATACAATGAGGAAAGCAGATTAATTGGTGTTTAATAATTTGATGTGAATTTTACTATCTGTTATAAAGGATGTGACGCTATATTGCTATATGTAGGAGATCTGTAGATGTAGAGGAGTTACATTTTTAACAGGCATCAGATGCTATAGGATATATAAATATGTCTGAGAAAATTTTACATGGGCGCTTTCAGACTTTGATTAAATTGTTGAATCTAAGCGCAATGATTCTATTAACAACTATATATGTGCATACTTTATCTATGTATATATATCCACAAATAAATGCTGTGAAATTGTCCAACATCCTTGGATTGTTACCTAGCACTGTGACAATAACAATCTGCCGCAATGGAAAAATTCATATTTTACCATGTAGAAATACTAGAATTTTGCTTTAAAAATAGAAATCACAATCCCAACAGTGCCACTGATGTTTTATGCCTGTCAAACATTTAAAGGGACACTATAGTCACCTGAACAACTTTAGCTTAATGAAGCAGTTTTGGTGTATAGAACATGCCCCTGCAGCCTGCCTGCTCAATCCTCTGCCATTTAGGAGTTAAATCCCTTTGTTTATGAACCCTAGTCACACCTCCCTGCATGTGACTTGCACAGCCTTCCATAAACACTTCCTGTAAAGAGAGCCCTATTTAGACTTTCTTTATTGCAAGTTTTGTTTAATTAAGATTTTCTTATCCCCTGCTATGTTAATAGCTTGCTAGACCCTGTAAGAGCCTCCTGAATGTGATTAAAGTTCAATTTAGAGATTGAGATATAATTATTTAAGGTAAATTACATTTGTTTGAAAGTGAAACCAGTTTTTTTTTTTTCATGCAGGCTCTGTCAATCATAGCCAGGGGAGGTGTGGCTAGGGCTGCATAAACAGAAACAAAGTGATTTAACTCCTAAATGACAGTGAATTGAGCAGTGAAATTGCAGGGCAATGATCTATACATGAAAACTGCTTCATTTAGCTGTAGTGTTCCTATAATTACCTACCCGCATTTCACAATACCAGAAAAGTGCAATTTCTACACAAATAGATAAACAGTATGTGGAATAACTAAATGAGACAAAAGAGAAGAATTAAAAGGAAAGAAGACTAAGAGAAAAAAGGAAATAATAAATTAAAGGAAGAGGGAAGAGGACAGTAGTCCTCCTTGGGCTTGTGAGGGCAAATATAACTACTTAATGCTAACATAAAATCACTGATCCATATAATGCTCCCAAGGTTATAAAATAAAGACATAGTGTTTCTAACTTTAGATGTTGGATTATCCATTAGATGGTTATCGTTTAACTTAAACAGGACTGCTTCTAGTGTAAGGACTGACTATTGCAACCAGCATTGTACCATGGTTCTTCTAACTTGACAAAATAGGAAAAGGAACCGCACTTAATTCACTTAAGACAGGGTGCTTAGCTGAACAAAGTGCTGCACAAGCCCAGAAAATAATAAATACCAGTATTAGAAAAAGGGTCCAGGCACTCCAATGTCTTCAGGCACCTGTTACCTTGGAACATGTGGAACACTGCAATGTTTTAACTCCATTGGCATTGGAGTGCCTGGACCCTTTTTCTAATACTAGTCTTCTAGCAAGAGTGACTTTCTGACTAATTTCATATCAAGAGAAGTAAAGTCTTCCATGGATTTCGATAAAATGAAAGACCAGGGGTCAAACATTAATGGAGCGATATCGTTTAAAATATTTAGGGGGGCAGAAATGGTTCACAGGCTGGGACTTTAACACCTGCTATAACACTACAATTATATGAAAAATTGGATATATGGCTAACAATAAAACTTTGAGTAGAAAAAATCTTATCATGTTTAAGTTGCTGTTCCAGGATAACTGAAATTAACATTTATACAATTTTAATTATTTTTTATTTGTCCATCCTTTACATAAATTTTGCGTCTGGAGTATGGACTGCACTAGACATCTGAACATGTTCTGTGATATATGGCACCAAGACATTAGCAGCAGATTATTTAAGTCCTGCAAGTTTC